TGATAATTCCTATTGCTGTTATAACCCTAAGACATCTGTTTAAGCATAAAGTGGCGGGAATTCCAGGTAAGGAGCATGGGAGTGCCATAGGAGGATGCAGGGAAGCCTGGTGGGAGTTAAGGAAGGTGTGGGAGCGGGTTTGAGATGCCTCCGTGAGCACAGGAAGATGTGTGTGATGCAGGGCTATGACAGGACACCCAGGGGAACTTACCAGAGCAATTTGTGACTTTTCCTGCTGGTTTCCCCACTGACTTTTGCTTGCGAGAAGCCAGCAGGGAGATCACAAATAGAAATCCTTAATGTCAAGTTAAAGTGCCCTGTAATGTTATCCAAGAACAGACTTATACGTTTCTTGGATGGCCCTGATTCTTTCTTCAATGCTTTATTATTTCTGGAAAAACCCCAAGTTACAAATATGCACATTAATGGATTAGCTACAGACCTTTTAACAACACTATTCCTATTGCTTCTCTTGAAAAAGCTAAACAGGGTTGGGATGGATACAATATCATAAGGAAATCCTAGTGAAGACTAGTTTTCGCTGTCCTAAAACCATAATGCAAGCGGGGAAAAAGAAGCCATTTCTATGTTGTTAACCAGAAAATGGTAAGATGTAACCAAGGAGCTGAGCTCAATTTCTGGGAGACTTTGCTTTCACTTTATTCTGTAGATTCCTTCCTTTCTCTTCTTCCAGTGCACATTTAGCAGATGCTATTAGTACTATCCAACAATCCAAATTTAAATTAGAAAAGGTGATTTGGCACATCACAGCAGATAGTAATTATTTTTAAAAGCTGCATCTTGATTTAAGGAGATGCTAAAGATGCAATGTATGTACCAACATGTATCCCACATCATCTTTCCCAGATCAAATAAGGTTTTCTGCAGAATCCATCGATGATTCACCAATTCCAGAGAAAACTATCGACAGGGTGATCTGTATTGGCTGGAACATTATCTGTTCAACAATTCTATTGTTTTTTTGCTAGTTCCATGAAATGACCATGTCATGCATTTAGATTCTATTATACAAGATGGCTAGCTTTAAAGATATTACTTTCTCTTTACTGTTGATAAAACAAAATATGTTATTTCACTCAAACATATCCAGTATAAAGTGTATCAAGTTTACCATTTTGTACTAAATTTTAATTGTGCTGTTGCCCTTACCATCTTAAAAATGGCAGCATGCACACAACTCAAGCCTCAATTATTAAATGTTGCATTTGAGATTAGCCTTAGTAACACCACAAATCTCAATTTTGCAACTGATTTAAAGTGACATCCTTAAAAAAAAGTACATTATAAAGCCAAACTTAATCATGGGAACTTGTATTGTTTAGTTTAAGAAACCCTGTGCATACTGTTTTATTAGATTTATATCTCACCTTTCCTCTAAGAGGTCAAAGAAGGATACACAGGGCACCCATCTCCCATTTTCCCAATAAAAACCCTGTGAGGTAATTAAACTGAGAAAATGAGGACCCTATAACCATCCAGGAAACTTCCATACTGGTAGTTGGTGGTGAAAGTGCACTTTAGGTCTTCATGTCAACACTGCAACATACTTGACTACAAATGGCTATTATTAGTTTTGACTAAAGTTAGCAGACTTTCAATAAAACTTGCTTTTCCTTTTACTTCGCTATAACCCAGTGATGGGGAACTATGCCCCTGTTTATGACTTGTGGACTTCAACTCCCAAAATTCCTAAACCGGCCATTCTGGGAGTTGAAGTTCACAAGTTATAAAGGGGCCATACAAGTAGTCCTCAACTCACAACAGTTGGTTTAGTGATTGTTCAAAGTTACAGTGGCACTGAAAAATATGACTCATGACCGTTTTTCACAGTTACAGCCTTCGCAGCATCTCCATGACATGATCAAATTTCAGATGGTTGGTAACGGGTTCATATTTGTGATCGTTGCTATGCTCCAAGGTCACATGATCACCTTTTTCGACCTTCTGACAAGCAAAATCAATGGGGAAGACAGATTCACTTAACAACCGGGTTACTAACTTATCCACTGCAGGGATTCGCTTAATTTCAGCAAGAAAGATCATAAAGTGGGGTAACTAACTTAACATGTCTCAACATAAATGTTGTGCTCCGTTATAGTCGTAAATCGAGGACTGCCTTGTAGCATCTCACCTCTGCTGTAATCCCATAATCCTTTCACTCAGGTTTTACACGATTTTACTCCATTTCTTGGCATTGCACACAAGCCAGTTCATGGTAATAAACTGGTGTGAATCTCACAATATTGTAAAACCAGTACTGATTATGTTGGAAACTCACACACCCCTCACCAAGAGAACGAAATATTCTGGGGAATGGTAAGAGGCAGAATATTATATTTCCCCAAGGGAGAAATTGAGAAAAAAAAATCTTAAAGCAGCCCCAACAGCCTCCAGTAGATGCCTGAAGTTTTTTAAGAGATGGATATTTTGTGCCCATTAAGAAATCCATGCCAGCCTATTCACAAATAAACCGGCTTCAGCTGCAAATGATTAAGAATTTACACCCCCCTCCACCCAAATTCTAAGAACAGGATATGAATGGCAGTTCTCAAGTCACAGGCCCAAAATCAGCCAATATAGGGGGAAAAAGATAACAAAGAACATCAATAGAGATAATACGAGCCTTCAGGACAGAATAGGATTAACCCACCATCATTAGAATAGCAAAAGGCACCAGGCTCCCCCCCCCCCCAGCATCTCAGAACCTGTATAAAAATCTATGTATAAAAATCCATGTATAAAAATCCATGTACTCATCAAAGCAATTGCTCAGCTGTCCCAGAAGTACATGTTGTTGGTTCTCTTCATCAATAAACAGGGGTTTAATATGTTAACATTATTAAACCCGTTTATTGATATTATAATTGATATTATAATTGATCTTTCCAATCAGCCCCACCCTCCCATTTTATTTCCAGCGCCTTTCTCCCCGCTTGGAACCGGACCGGACTTTTCTTCCAACAGTTATTGCTTTTATTTACACCCCCTCGTCCCTCTGCCCCAAAAGGAGCTTAAGAGTACGACAACCCTGCGGTGTAGTCCATACAGAGATTGTGACTGCCCCGACTTCGTCGAAGGAAGTATCGCCGCTCAAACAGGCCTCAAATACGGTCTTGGGTTCCCCCGCTCCACACTCCAGACCCACGTACGCACCAAACAACGACCCACGCTACGCAGCAAACCCCACACTGTCCCTTCCCCGTCAGGGTCATCTCTCTCTCTCTCTTCCAACAGCTTCTCCAAAGCCGCTTCCGGCTGCGTCACATCCGCTCTACCAACTGCCAGCTCATAACGCGCGCCCTCCCGCCTCGCTGGTCTCTCGTCCAATTACAAGCGCGGGAAGACTCTCGCGGAGATAGTCTTCCTGCGCATGTGCATTCCGTTTAAAAAAAAAAACAACCTACGAGCAGTTTTTGTTTTCACGCCCCAAACGCCACGCTTGCAGATTACGCACGCGCAGCGACGGCCTCCTTGAGGCGCGCATGTGCTCAAAACCCTCTGTGAAGAACTTTGGGAACTGAAGGGCGAAAGTGCGCATGCGTAGGAGTCGGACGATGTTTCAGTCTAAGATATATATATGTATATCTATATTTTAAAGGTGAAGTTGTAAAATAAGATTGTTGTTGTTTTTTTCTACCCTAGGAGAGGGATTCTGTTGACGGGGAATGGTGGGAGCCGAAGTTGAAGAGTTTTGAAAGTTGGCAGGTTAGAAAACCTGAAGAAGGGCTCGGTTAACGGGTGCTGGGTTAAGTGATGTCGGAAAGGGTGGCTCATATTTGTAGGATGGGCTGTTTCGTGTTGTTTTTTTTAACTTTAAACATCCTTAGATGCTCTCTGTTCATCAACAGGCTGCTGAGATCTGACCAGATGCTATGAGATCCCAAAGCATTAGAGCAGGGTTGTCCAACCTTGACAACTAAGACTTAAAGACTTCAACTCCCAGAATTCCCCAGCCAGCATGGCTGGCTGGAGGATTCTGGGAGTTGAAGTCCACAAGTCTTAAAGTTGCCAAGGTGGAGATCCCTGGATTAGAGCCTTTATCAGGAAACCCTGAAGCTATTTGTCATAGTTTCTAGGCCATAGTTTCCCCATTTGGTATAGTTCCCATAATTCACAACCAGAATATGCTTAAATTTTCTCCTTTGTTAGTATGCCAGAGGGTAAAATCTAAAAGACAAAAATCCTCTCTTGGGTCAAGCAGTATTAATTATTATTCTGCAAGGACTATTTTATGTGCTGTTTTTGTCTGAAATTAGGAAATTTGTTATGCTGTTCTGCATCAATGTGGCAGCCGCCTTAATAATAACGATATGATCATTCTTAATCATAATAATTTTGATATTAGCTGAAATGCCTTTTGCGCCTTCTTTATTATCTCTTCCATGTTGGCTGATTTTGGTCTTGGACTTGAGGACTGTGCCACTCATGCTTCTTTTTCTTCCCATGTTCTTCTCTTTGCAATGATACTGATATATTTCTAAATTTGTTGTGTTTTTATCAGTTTTTTCAAGTCTGTGGGGATTCTCAATCAAAAGTGCTTTTTTCAAGAGGCAGCTATAACTTCCTTGTTTTTTTCCTTGAAGATGTTTCACTTCTTATCCAAGAAGCCTCTTCCGTTCTGACTAAATGGTGGAGAACTGAAGGATTTATATTCCTTGCAGTCATCCAGTAGTTAGCATTCTCTCTGTAGAGTGCTTTTTATTATAAAATATAGTTTTTTGATGGCTTTTATAATATGGTACAATTTGGGTTAGCTGCCTTAAAAACCTTCAGTTGAAAGGAATCAGTAAAAGACAGCTTCTTTTAATTGAGCTAAGCTTCTGCACACTTTGTGGACATGTTTCTTGAGCAACAAGATAAATTGATCTGCCTTCTGATTTTTATTTAAACTTGCCAGTATAGTTTATACACTTAGAATTTCCTGTTAGTATCTCATTGTATTAAATCAGGTATCACCCTGCTTATTTTTTTGAGATCAGAGAAGATAGGTTTGCTGATGCCAATCAATAAAACGGTGGTAAAAAAGTCGACTAGAGCAAAGTTAGTGTCTTAGATTGAAAATACATTATAAAAATAAAAAGGGACTGATTATTTCTTGCAGAAATTGTGGACTTTTTCTCCATAATAGGTAGAACTTGGACCTACCAAGTATTTGCAACCAGGTTCAGAAGAGTAATCAATGCATTCCTTCTAACAGGTGGGTACTTAAACAACTCTTTTACTGCAGTAAACCAAAATTCATTTATCTATGAGTAAATCATTGTACTTTATGAAGGCTATTTTTAATTAGACCCGTGTAGTATTTTACAGCCATAATACATTTTACACAATGTCTGCATACAAAGTTCATTGAATTCAGTGAGATCTGTGAGCTGGTAAGGTTTGGTTTTATTTGTATTCTGCCTTATTTTTATTAATAATCTAATACGATTAACATATCTAATACACCTTCATCCTCGTTTTTTCCACACAAAAGCTGTCCTGTGAGGTGAATTGGGCTGAGAGAGAGTAACTGGCCCAAAAGCATCCAGTCAGCTTTCATGCCTAAATCAGGATTAGTCTCCTGGTTTATAACTTGATGCCTAGACCAATCTGGCTTCCCAGTTTCTTTTATATTTGTGTCCTTATTTTGAAATTATTCTAGAAATAAATGGAAAGACGTACCATTTTAAAAGTGAAGTATAATGGAAGCTACAGAAAATTTAAATTAATGTACTGTAAATGATTTCTGAATGTCCTTTTGAGATATATTAGAATTGTTATAATAGACTATATATAGATATATACCAATTATAGTTCATTTTTTTCTCAAATGATGATTTCTGAAATATTTTAAATAGCTGAAAGGATGAGATTTGGGGGGCGGGGTTGTCATCTGTAAAAATGCTGGAAATTTTTTCTAGACAATGAGTTAAGAGCAGTGCTCTGTATTTTTTTTAAAAACTGGCCTTTGTGTTTTTTTGTCATTGAGCATATTTAATTTCATATTAGTAAACAATCTTTGCTCAAAAATATTTCTTCTTTTCATGTCATCCCAGCTGTAACATTTTTGTTTTAAGTTCTTTGAAGTTGGAATCTCTTGCACAAATGGAAGTTGGTTGGTTACTTAGCTTTTATTCCAATGTGGCATTTGCAAAATTCAATAAACTTAATCACTTGGGAATCTGATTATTTCAGTGAACAAATTTAAAAATTCTCATTAGAGGGATTCTTTTCTGGTGCTTAACATATTTTTAATTCAGGATCAGCCTTCCCGTTTAAGTATACTCTGTATACTACACTACATCACCCAGAATTCTTTGCTGTTCTTGAATCACAGTGCCTGAAATACTGGGACTTGTTAACCTCAATACGCAGACTGGAAAAAAGGCTTCAGTATAGGAAGAATAAGGCAAGAACACCTCATCTGCCTCTGATTATTGGACTATACATTTTTGTTTTCATATTTGTTTCATCTTTTCTTGCAAGATAAAATGCTCCACATAGGGGAAACCTCTTTTTCTTTCTGCGCCAAATGAAAAATTAAGGAAGTGTTTTATTGAGTTCTTAAACCATTACTTCATTTCTTTGCTTTTTAGACACTCCCTTTTCTTTCTGGATACTCCTGGGTTTGAAAATGAACAAACAGAACACCATGTCCAATGAGCAGACTATAAATCTTGACCAGTTTGGCACAGATATACTTGCAGAAATCGAGAAACTGTTCCAGAAGACCTTTTCATACACCAAACCAGCCAACAATGAATGGCAGTTGCCTGATCCCAGCCATGTTTTCACCTCCCACCACAAAGCGTTTGGTTCTCTTGAGGCACTCAAGGATTCTTTGAACGAGGTCAAGAACAAACTCAGTGATAAGCAACTGGATGAGTGGCACCAGCACACTTCCTTTACCAACAAAGCCGGGAAAGTTATTGCCCATGTCAAGAAATCTGTCAGCGCTGAGTTGTGCACGCAGGCGTGGTGCAAATTCCACGAGATTGTTTGCAGTTTTCCTCTTCTCCCAAGTGATGCTCTCCAGAACGGCGAACTCAACTCCGTCCACCTATGTGAGGCCCCCGGGGCTTTTATAGCCAGCCTCAACCATTATCTGAAGTCTCACCGTATCCCTTGCGACTGGAACTGGGTGGCCAACACTTTGAATCCGTATCACGAAGCGAATGATACCCTTATGATGATTATGGATGACCGGCTTATTGCCAACACTTTGCCCTGGTGGTATTTTGGTCCAGAGAACACCGGAGACGTCATGAGCCTGAATCACCTCACAGGGCTTCAGCATTTCATAAGCAACATGGCTACTGTTCATTTGGTCACCTCCGATGGGAGTTTCGATTGCCAAGGCAACCCAGGTGAGCAAGAGACACTAGTTTCCCCATTGCATTACTGTGAAACGGTCACTGCTCTAATGACTTTGAGTCCTGGAGGCTCTTTTGTCCTGAAGATGTTCACCTTGTTTGAACACAGTTCGGTGAATCTGCTGTTTCTCCTCAACTGTTCCTTTGAGGAGGTTCACGTTTTTAAACCTGCGACGAGCAAAGCAGGGAACTCTGAGGCCTACGTGATTTGCCTGCGCTATTTGGGGCGGGAGGCCATTCACTTTGTCTTATCTAAGATGCTGCAGAACTTTGGTTCCGAACTGGTGGCAAAAGCCCTGTTTCCCCAGCACTTGATCCCAGAGTCGTTTCTCAAGGTCCACGAAGAATGCTGTTTGTTCTTCCACAAGCAGCAAACGGAGACCATTTCAGAGAACCTCCGTCTCTTTGAGCATATGGACGAGGCGGAGCAGGCCAGGTTAAACACTTTGCGGGACTGCTGTGTCCAATATTTCTTGCAGAGGTTCCAATTGAAACCCCTGGCCCGAAGCAACTGGCTGGTGAAGAAGCCTCATGCTGGCTACAGCATGAATTCCAAATGGTTTGGGCAGAGGAACAGGTATTTCTGCACCTACAACGAGAGGAAACTGCTGGAATCTCTCTCCTGGGAAGATAAGGTGGTCAAAGGATGCCTTAACCACTGGACTGAGGAGCATGTTCTCGGCAACGTTGGGAAGGGCTGCGTTTTAGAAGGAGTACCTGGCAACCTCGACTGTCGTTTATGGTATATCTTGGAAGGCCAGCGATTGCCAAGAGTTAAATTTTCTCCCTTCTGTGGCGGTGAGGTCTTGAAGAGCCTTAACGAAGCCATTGAAAAATCTTTGGTTGGTCAAACTATTCATGACGATCTTATCCGGACAACGTTTGCAGAATGCCGATTCTGCTGTGTCCTTACAGCATCATCGGTGTTGTCTGAATTATCAGAACTTATGGAATATTGTGAACCTACTCCAGATCAAGATAGCACGAGTCAAAAAAAGTGCTTGGTTTTAGGCTTCCCGCTGTTTTACGGTGAGGAAAGTAGGTTTGGCTTGGAAATTAGAAACGTGGAGTCAGCACCTCTCTTGGCTTTTAGCTGTACTTTACTGCACGACGGAGAACCGAAATATCAACTGCATTTTTTAGAATGCCTCTTGGGTGCATTTCCTCAGCTTCAAAAGGGAGATGCGTTGGCTTTGCCTGTTCTTTCTTGCTTCACCCGCTTTATGGCTGGTTTAGTCTTCATATTGCAGAACTGTTTTCAGAGTATTTCTTTTGCTTGCCCCACATCATCTCAGCCTCTAAGGACTAATGCCGTCTTGCTCTGTGCTGGATATCAAGGTCTTCCAGACTCGGTTTTCCAGTACTTGCAACAGCTAAGTGAGCTTATGAGTACCCTGCTCGACTCCAAGTCCCCACAGCAGGTCTTGCAATTCATTCCTATGGAGCATCTGCTGAAGGGGTTGCTGATGGAATTCCTCTGGGACCTCAATACGGCTATTGCGAAAAGACAGTTGCATCTGATTGTCCAAATTGAACAGCAGAATATGACCTGAGGAGGCTACAGTTTTTCTAGTTTGGCTAGTTAGACTTTTTTTTTTTTTAATCTCTAGGGAACATCTCATGAACTGCTGAGGAAAAGGAGGAGTCTAGGCAGGAGTGGATAATCCGTGGACCCTGAAGGACTGTTATATTATGTCTCTCAGCTGCCCCAGCCAGCCTGGTCAATAGTAGGGATACCAGTGGGAATTGATTAGGCAATAACTGGAGCACCGTACGCGTTCCCTACTTTTCATTTAAGTCAGGGCTGTCAAACTCCTGACCCGCGGGCCAGATGCATCATGCACTGACCACGCCCATGCCCGGTTTAGCGAAGGGAGGGGGAAGTTCCGATACATCACATGACGCTGCCATGACGCCATGAGTTTGACACCCCTGATTTGAGTAATAATAGGAGCTCTGGTGGTGCAGTGGTTGGAATGCAGTATTGTGGGTTAACTCTGCCCACAGCCTGGAGTTCAATCCTGACAGGGCTCAAGATTGTCTCAGCCTTCCATCCCTCCAAGGTCTGCAAAATAAGGACCCACGTTGTTGAGGGCAATATGCAAATAATGCTTCTACATTGTAAACCACCCAGAGAAGGCTGTAAAGCAGGGCCCTCCAACCGTGGCAACTTTAAGACTTGTGGATTTTAACTCCCAGGATTCTGGGAGTTGAAATCCGCAAGTCTTAAAGTTGCCAAGGTTGGAGACCCCTGCTGCAAAGCACTACAGGGTGGTATGTAATTCTAAGGGCTATCGCTTTCGCTAGAAGAACTTCTGTCTGTAACCCAGATTTCTCCATATATGGTGTTTTCCATGTGTGTTGGAATTACAAGTCTTGGAATTCCCGACAAGAGGCCATGCTGACTGGGGCATCTGGAGCTGCAGCCGTAGCATTTATGGAAGATGGCTGGGAAAGTTTGCTTTGACAGACCTTGCTCAAGGCTGCTTTTATGCTACTCTCATGTCAGTGAGAACCTCTGGTTGCTGAAAACATTTGAATTGGGCACATATCAGAGGAAATCAGCTAGGTATGTTAAATAGACCAAAGCCCTGCAGCGGGAGCAAGTATCATAAATTAAAAATTCACCTTAACTAAACTGAGCAGCTATTTCAGAATAATGATTTTGTATAAGAAGCAATCAATCAGAATAAAGCTGGAAGGGACCCTGAAGGTTTTCTAGTCCAACCCCGTTCAAGCAGGAGACCCTATCCCATTTCAGACAAGTGAGTGTCCAGTCTCTTCTTAAAAAGGTCGAGTGATAAAGCATCCACAACTTCCGGAGGGAATTTGTTCCACTGGGGAATTATCCCCACTGTTAGGAAGTTTCTTCTTAATTCCAGGTTGCTTTTCTCCTTGATTAGTCTCCATCCATTGTTTCTTGTCCTGCTCTCAGGTGCTTTGTAAAATAAGTTCATCCCTTCTTCTTTGTGGTAGTCCCTCAAATACTGGGATACTGCTATCATGTTACCCCCAATCCTTCTTTTCAATAGAGATAGTCCAAGGATGACTACAAGATTCACTTAAACTTAGCCCCCAACCGTGAACCTGGTGGCTTTCTTCATATGATGTAACTGTTGGAATATACAGTAGTTGATGTGGCTGTATTTGCCTGCTTGTACGAGCCCACTCCCAAATCTCTTTAGTAAAACACTGTCACGTATCCTGTTGTGGAGGCTCCAGTGGCTGCCATCTTGGATGTGGGAAAGATTGCTGTGTAGGTTTGTTGTAGAATGAGCCAAGAAATGCAGTGACTCCGGCAAAATGGTCCAAGGCAGTGATCATTTTGGGCCTCACAGGGTGGGAAAGAGAAAATTGTGGCTAAAGAGCTGAGCACAAGAATATTTAGCTATCCTTTGGCCAGAGGAAGGAATGGCTTTGCTTCCCCTCTGATTTTATTTTAAATCATGGGGAATAATGTCAACATTGTTTGGTTTTTAAACAATTCAGAAAGAAAGGAACTCTGGTAGCGCGGTGGTTAGAATGCAGTATTGCAGGCTGACTCTGCCAACTGCCAGGAGTTTGATCCTGACTGGCTCAAGGTTGACTCAGCTTTCCATCCTTCCGTGGTCGATAAAATGAAGGCCCCATTTGGGAGGGCAATATGCTGACTGTGTAAACTACTGAGAGAGGGCTGTAAAGCACTGTGAAACGGTACATGAGTCTAAGGGCTATTGCTATTGCTTTTTTCCCTCTGTATGCAAGATATATTTAAAATCAAACAGGAGGCCTTCAACCACAACCCACTTGGGTTCTCTTGCAGAAAACTTGGAACAGTATTTCCCAAACTTGGCAACTTCCAAAGCTATAAACTTCAATATCTGGAATTCTCATCTATGGCTATACTGGCTATGGAATTCTGGGATTTGAAGTCCATACGCCTAGAAACTAGCAGAAAATGAAAGACTCTGGCAGGATTTTTGCAATGCAAAAATGCAACAATTGATTTTCAGGTATTCGGGGTTCCTGTGAACTGGGCTCCCAATATAGCCATAGCCTTAAATTCACATTCAGTGTTAAACCTGGGTCCAAGCCCTCTAAGAACTGCTGCAAAAATTATATGAGATAGGGCACAGTTTATGCTTGAGTTAAATACATGGAAAAGATTCTGGGATTTCCCAAAATGTGAACATGGCCTTGATTTGTCATGCCTCACTTAATTCCCTTTGCCAAACCATCTTTTAAACCCTCCAAAGAATGGGTGATGTTTTGAACCAAATGCTTGTGTGTCTGCAGCCTAATTTTGATACGTTCTGGAGGAATCATTTCTTACATTGCTTCGAAAAAAAAATAAATTTAAGTTGTAAAGCAGTAGCACCTATTTTTCATGCTGCTTGCTTTCGACCAAGGAAGTCTGAAGCACTTCTGGCGTACGTTTTTTTGAAGCACACGCCCAGATCTAGAATGGTGGCAATGCTTGCGAATTAAATGGTGGGAAGGGTTGGAAAATTAATTGCAAACTGTGGTAGCGATAAAGAAGAATATTTGCAGCTCAGGGTTGAAACGAAGGGTCCTTGGTGTTCTCTGAGCTTAGTTGTTTTCTTTTAGACAATTTATTACCCATACTAGGTAACACCATCAAGGCAATTAGAATGTCACCTAGCTTGGGTGATAGAACATCTGCAAGAAAGCAACCAAGAGAGCACCTTTATTTCTACCTCAAACCTAATAATATTAGGAATAATATTAGGAATAATATTAGGTAGCATTGCAAGAAAAAGAATATTGGCTGGTTGATAGGCTTCTGCTCAGCTTTCCTCCTTAGGTGGTCACTATTCATAGTGGTGAGTACAGGTAGTCCTCGAATTATGAAAACAATGGAGCCCAAAATTTCTATCGTTAAGTGAGTCATTTCTTAAGTGAGCTATGCCCCATTTTACGACCTTTTTTGCCACCGTTGTGAAGCGGATAAGTTAGTAACCCGGTTGTTAAGTGAATCTGGCTTCCCTGTTGACTTTGCTTGCCAGAAGGTCGCAAAAGGGGATCTCATAACCCCAGGACATTGAAATCGTCATAAATATGAGTCAGCTGTCAAGCATCCGGATTTGAATCACGTGATCATGGGGATGTTGCAAAGGTTGTAACTATGGAAAAAACGGCCATAAGTTAACATTTTTCAGTGCCGTTGTAATTTTGAGCAGTCACTAAGCAAATTGTGGGGGACTACCTGTATTCAGTGGGTCTATCGAGCTGCATGTTCAACTTCTAAATCCTAAGTTTCCTTTTGGTTTTTATTCCCCGAGCAAGAATTCCTGTGCGCTGTACAACTCAAATATCTAAATTATGCAAGATGAGGCTTTTGCAAAGATGTTCCTGTGACTTGGGCGGGGAAAAACTACAGCACAAGATGTTATTTTATAACTATAAAGGGAGCAAGAGAAGCAACTGAATGCTTGATCTCAACAGCACCTTACATTAAAAAAAAATAGCTCGCTAGTGAGTCTTATCATTGGTCCATCTGGCATATTGCAGTCCACAAAGATCTGCTTTTCAAGCTGCCAAGCAGAGTGTGCTTGTTAGGCATACCAATTTTGCAGTCTGTGATTACGTAGGGCAGACTTCTTGAACCTGAAGCTATCTGGGCATGCTTAGACCACAACTCCCAGATTTCTTAGCCAGCTGTTGTGGTGTGTCAGCCACTGGGCCCTTCCAGCAGCCGAATCAGATGAGGAGGAGGAGGAACGGGAGTCAGAGTCAGCATCAAGGCAACCCGAGAGCTCCAAGGGAGAAGAGAGAATGGCGCTGTCAGAGAGGAAGGCAGAGACGGAACCTGGGCTGTCCGTCAGCCATGGAGAGTCAACAGCCTTCAGGTCTGGAGGTGGCTGGTGCGGAAGAGGAGGAACAGCTGGGTCCAGTGCTTGATAAGCAGATGCGCAGAAGGCAGAGGAGAGGAGAGCAGTGGAAATATGTGGGCCGGTCCTTGAGAAGGAAGAGCGACCGCTGCTAGCGAAGCCCCACCCTAGCTCTGGGGATCAAAGGCAGGGGGCAGAGATGAATAGGTGCGGCAGACAGCTATTCATCTCCCTGCCAGACAGACTTCTTAGCCGGCGGCGAGAGAAAAACTTTCTGCCAGAACTGCTGGCGCTCCTAATAAAGGAATGGTTGATTTAACTTCAGAGGGTTTGTCGTGTTTGGGGAGCTGAGTCAGAACACCAGCACAGACAAAGGTACCTCAGCAATTCTTGCCCATTCTGTTAGCATTGTCAATAGTTGGGAATAATGGAGGATTGCATTAAGCAACGGTTTATTGAACAAGCCTTTTGCCTTGTGCTAAAGCAGTGTTTTTCCAACGTGGCCACTTTACGACAGGTGAACTTCAATTCCCAGAATTCCTCAGCTAGCATGCCATACACGAGAATTCTGGGAATTGGAGTTTACAGTGGGCTGGGGAATTCTGGGAATTGAAGTCCATGTATCTTAAAAACTGCTGAATTGGAAAAATAATCTGTTAAGGCATGTCATGATTTGCACAAAACAATGCTGTGTGGCACAGATGTTTTACTTCAAATCTGCTGGTGAATCTTAACATAAGCTTGTGCTCTTCCTACTTAGTTTTGAGTTTTTAAATGCCAAATTGCACCGCTGATATTTAGCCAAGTTTTTGGATGGATTCATTTTGATTCAGTTTGCAGGATTGGGATCGCTGTTAGGATGGGAATGATATCTTTATGACACTCAGATGCCTGGCGTTTCCATTCCTACCCTGGGACAGTTGTTATCTTTCAGTCTTGAACTATTATGTAGGATTTCTATTATGTTGGAAGAAAGGTCGCATCTGGTTCAGTTCCAAGTGGGGTAAAAGACACTGGAAACATGGAGGTTGATTGGAAAGATGATTTAATGAAGCAGAACCATCA